CACCAGTTTCCATGAATTAGCTAGGTTTTACCAAAGTTCCTACAGTTTTCCAGCAAGGCCCCAATTCCCCGACTTTCCCAGGTTGGTAGACACCCTGCACAAACAAAGATAGATGGCAGTTAACTCGCGTCCTGTTCCCTGTCTTATGCAAGTGTCATTCTGCACTTTATTACCTTAGAAGTACTTGCTGCTAGGCAGGTTGGTATAACATTATTAGGGAAAATTCTAGACGATGCAAATCTGTGGTGCAGTGTAAATATTTTCTGTAGTTCAGCTGCGACCGGTGCTCTTTTTCTGTGATTTTTCATTTTTTTAATGGTGGTTAGGCATCTATATTTTTCCCCCTTCGCTTAATTACCTCCCTGAAGCTATGCATCATCTTGCCCATTAACAACCATTGTTAAACTATTGTATGTGGCATTGTTGATGCAAAATGACCTTAGAGTATATGCTAAAGCTCCTGCAGGATCACCGGCTGAATGTGACAACCAGTTCACCCTTTATAGGACCCGAAGTATTGACATTTTCAATATATCTGTTTGCACAGTGCTTCATTGGAGTCATGCAAACTTAAAATATGGCGCTCCCACAGAGAAATTTTTCTTCCTGTGCTGTGACCAAAGGAAAAACTATGTAGACAATAACGAAAAGAGATCATAACTAGGCTTAGCTGTGTGATGTCTGCCTCAATAAAAATGTAATAAATTAATGCAAGTGTGCTTATATCACCATGGTGTTGCCAGTTTATTACTACATTTGATATGAATCTCTGCTCGCTCCACCATGGTGTTCCTCAGGGTGTACACAGTCTTACCTCTGAGACAGCATTGCCAGAACTAATTTCACTGTCACAATCTTGAACAGGTGTGCAACAAGCATGCGCCAGTGCAGAGAACACAAGAGAAGTGGTCACTGCTTGCATGTTCAAGGTCGTATGCACGCACAACGGACTATGATTTTGCAGTGTCTTACATTTTGAGTGGAGTATACATAGTGATGGCTGGAGCAGTCTCTGTGGTCACCAGCTATACTGTCACAATGTGAATATTGTTGCTCGAGACAACTGTTTAGGACAAAAAAAGGGCACCGTAGAAAAAAATATTTTTAAACTAATGTAAGGGCTTGTGGTGAGGAGACTCTCAAAAGGTATATGGTGTGTCATCTTGCAATAGAGAAGCAACATTTATACCTAGTTTATGTTAGTAGGAGTCTGCTAAACATTGGCCATACAAGCTTGTGGCTAGAGAAGGATGATGTCCAGAAGATGCCCTCCTGAAATGTTAACCTGCACCGTCCTCCCTTGCCCTTCTTGGTGCACTGGAATTTTTGCCCTATAGGTACTAATTCCTTTAGTGGGTACTCTTGAAGGGCTTCTGAATAAGCTCACTCTTACCACCTGCTTTACCCAAGGGCAAATCCTACTGTTGGAACTTGTTTGCTTGGCAGAAATTTTTAACAGGAAAAGAAGCTTCACTCGTTACACAAATATAGCTACAGCATTGCAAGATTACTACGATGTTATGTACACAGACCTCCCACATACAACTAACTAAAATCTTACCACTTACCTCTATGGTGAGCCTGATTATGCCTTAAGACAGCATGTAAGTTTCTTGATCCTATACTTTTTAATCAGTACATGAACCTTGAAAAAACAAGATCATCACGTGCAGTCCGTAAAACCAGTGCTTATGAACTGCAATGATGCCATCGAAATCATCAGCGAAAGTAAATGCACCCTGCTGGAAAGCAAATTCTGCATGAAGCCTGTAAATGTACTGTTAACAAAGTCTTCTCGACAACTTCACTATGTCTATTTCTGCAATTTGCATAATCCTGTCTCTTCATACCTTGCTGTCAACCCAAATATTATTGACCTATGAGGTGTTACTCATATGACCATGCTCATTTAACATACCTGCAAGCCTCAGAGCTAACATAATAAAATTGAAGACTTTAATAAATTAATGCTCTCTGCTACTCCCCCCTTCAAAAAAAATTTTAGCATCCCCTTCAAACCTGTTTCTTTAAAGACTCAACAGGCACAGTGACGTGACTCATGAAAGGCATATCCGGAGCTTGTGGTGCAACTAAAATCTTTTTGGAGCAGCATAAAAGCTGCCTGAAGCTTTTAAGCTAGAGCTGTTGGACCACATGTTACAGGGAACTAGTTTATGAACATATGCATGCATGTTCACTTGGACTTCTGCTCAACATAAACGTAGGCTTTTTACTTTTTTGCAGACATCCCCAATTTATATAAAGCTACCTAGTGCTTTCTGGGAATTCACATGGCATTTGTAAATGACTCTGGCTTTCAACAATAGTTTAGCTACAATATTGAATCACTGACTGGTAAGACTATGCATTGTATTTACTTACCAAAAAAAAGAGTCTGATTATATTAATGCTTTTATTAGTACATCCTAATCGTTCAATCTGTGGAGAAGTGGTTGCTGTCATCGTTTATGTACAGAATTGTTAGGTCCCTGATTGATGAGCACTTCATAAAAAAAGGGTTTTGTAACTGGTCCTTACTGCCAATTATTTATTATGGCTTGACAAAATTTAGAGTTATGGGGGAGTAAGTAGTTACACTTGGCAAACTGTTTGACATGTACAGTCGTCGAGGTCGAGAAGCCCAGCCGAGACATACCGGAATAGTGGAACACCATGCTTTCTAGGAGAAGTAAAAGTGATTGTACAGCATGCGGTACTGCTGATAAAATTTGCCCACTGTATGGACTTAAAACTTAACCACCTTGTATGAAATATTTTGAAAGTAAACTGTAAGAAATAGGACCACAAATAAAAAAAAAACTAAGTGGTTAGTTCTATATGCAGGTACTAAATTACTGTATTTTAATACAGTAACGCAAGACTGTTGTCCAAGCACAACTAGCTCATTATTACTTTTATCTGACAGTAACCACAACAGTTAGAAACTATTTGGCTAATAACCACCGCACGGCAAAGATCCTCACAAGTTAGTGAGGAACTTTAGACCTTTGATTCGCACCACCTAAACGACCTAAACGTCCCCAAAAAAATGTCCAACACGGCGATTCTGTCGCCGTCTATTCATACGTTTTCAGCCAAGTCAAGCCGGTTTTAAGCGGCTATTGGGTGAACCGAACGCTTTTGCCTCGAAAAGGTTCGTGCCACCCGGTGCCGGTGGCAGCAAACGCGGCCCTCGAAAAGGTTCGTGCCACCGGGGGAACTGAAACACTTCCTAAAATTTTTCATTTTTGTTCTATTTTCCAAAAACATACTGCTAAGTTTAGACACTTGCAAAAAAAGCAACATTAACATTGTACTAAAATTTTGTTTGATTTTATGCGTATTTATACTTTTTAAAGCGTATATTAGTAAAAATAAAGGCATAAATAAAATTGGGCATGCCACAGTCATTACATAAGATTTTGTCTGTCTTTTATTAAATAACAATTTTTTTATGTCGAAAAGTCATTTGGAGCCAGAATTACGAAAAGTAGGCAAACGTTTGTGCTACCCATAATTCCCATGCTCACTGAAGCCCTGTGTTACACTGTAACCGTGTGTTGTAGGCTTGCAGCTCCCAGCTCCCCTCTTATATCCTCCTTGGCTCCCCTCAAATCACGGAGCCTCGGATGGATAAATGGATGGATGGATATGGCTGTACCCTTTAGATCGAGCGGTGGCTAGCGCCACTAAGCCGTAACACTTAATGAACCAAAAACTATATTTATTTTTTTTCCTTAGTGAGGTGGGGGATTTGAACTTTGCAGTGAAGGGTTTAAATTTCACTCGTGCTTTGACTTTAGCGACCAATCAGATAACCTCCCTTAGTTAATTCTACCCGCTTAACGTCTATTTTGCCCTCCCTGTCCCTAAACCCCAGTGCTTTGAAAAACTCTGCGCCATCATCCTGAACAATAGGGTGAAGCCCTTTACAGAACATTATCAAGTGTTCGGCAGTTTCTTCTTCCTCTCCACACGCACTGCATACCGTGTCTACGCCTTCGTATTTGGCCCGATATGTCTTGGTTCGCAATACTCCCGTTTCGGCCTCAAACAGTAGAGAACTACCCCGAGTATTATCGTAGATCCTTTCCTTAGCAATTTCCTGCTTAAAAGTTCGATAGATCTCTAGTGCGGACTTCTTAATCATGCCAATTCTTCACATATCGGTCTCAGCTTCCTCACCTTCTTCTTAACCGATAATTCTTTTTGTTTTGGCCCCCCGCTCTTTTCCAAGTATTTACCAGTCAATTTTCTGCTTCGCTTCCTCCATTTTGTATCGACATTCTTCATGTTCAAGTAGTTGAATACCTTCCTAGCCCAACGCTCCTCCCCAATTTCTCTCAATCGCTTCTCAAATTTTATCTTGCTGCTAGCTTCCCTGCCCTCAAATGATGTCCATCCCATATCACCTTGTACTCCCTGATTTGGTGTATTTCCGTGAGCTCCTTGCGCAAGCCTACCTATTTGACGTTGCTTAATTTCTAATCTTGTTTGAACTTCTGATCTCATGCACAAGACCGCACTGCCGAACGTCAGACCAGGAACCATGACCCCTTTACACATTCCTCTCACAACATCATACCTATTGTAATTCCACAGTGCCCTGTTTTTCATCACCACTGCATTCCTGTTATCTTTAGTCGTCACGTATATTTCGTGTTCCCTTAGGTACTCGGCCCCATTGCTTATTCATACGCCCAGATAATTGTATTTATCTGTTATTTCTAGCGTGACCTCCTGTATTCTGAGCTCACTACCTTCATTGTCATTAAAAATTATGACTGCTGATTTTTCCTTACTGAATCTCAAATCTAACCTATCTCCCTCATTACCGCAGATGTCCACCAATCTCTGCAAATCTTCCTTGTTGTCGACCATTAGCACTATATCATCTGCGTAGTCACTAGCGCCAGAGTTCCCTCTAATAAGTGTTGTGGGAAACTCTATGGTGAAGTAGGGCGAAAATGTTGGGCTTGCACCAGCGCCCTCTCTATGTGGTGAAAGTTGCGAGTGGTGAACTGTGGTGCCTGGTTAGTTGGCTGGTTATAGTAGTTTTTCTAACCCAGCTTTCCCTCTGGAGTCTGTGTATCTGTGTATTGGATCATCTATGCTCTGCACTCTAGTAAACAATACCAGGTGTTCTGTGACAATACTCTTGTGTTAGTCTTGCGAACTCTGAGCACGTTGTGGCAGCGAGAGCATGGCTTCGCTGTTCAAAAACAAGCGGTCCACTCTTGAGAGGGTGGAGAAATTCGTCAGTCCGGTCTATTTCACGGATGTCAATCTTTACGGTAGGATCTACCCTGAAGCCAAAGAGTTAACTAGTCTGTCCGTGTGGTCTACACCCGACCGCGTCTCGTTCGACGAAGCATCTAAGCGACCTGACTTCGTGAACACCAGTGTCGGTGCTCAGTTCGGACCGACGTGGACTACCTGCTGGTTTAAGGTACTACTATCCCTCACTAGCTTTGAGATCCTAGGCATTTTTGTGGGGCACATGTCTGAAAGCTCGACGCGGCGCCAAGAATTTTATGACGCCTAGGCAACATCAGCTTGTCTTGATGCTAACGGCCAAATTGATGTAATATTCTTAGACTACAGTAAAGCATTCGACACAGTTCCACACAATAAACTAATTATAAAGCTTCGGTTAGTTGGTATACCAGAATTATTTATCTCCTGGATCTCAGCTTATCTACTCAATCGCAACCAATATGTTCAGGTAGGAGAAAAACAATCGGGCTGCCTTCCTGTGACTTCTGGCGTTCCGCAGGGGAGTGTACTAGGCCCCCTTCTGTTTTTGGTCTACATTAATGACATTGTCAATGTAATTAGCACCCCGGTACAAATTCGTTTATTTGCTGATGATTGTGTTTTGTTTAGATGTAACCTGCATTAGTGACCAATGTGATCTTAATACTAACTTATGCAATGTATCAAAATGGTGTGAGCAATGGGGAATGCTTCTTAATGCAAACAAATGTGTGTATCTCCCCATAACGCGCAAAAAAGTCCCATTAAACTACACATACAATTTAGCTGAAGCCCCTTTACTTAAAGTAGCCTCCTATAAATACTTAGGATTAACGTTAACAAGAACCTTATCCTGGAATTTGCACATAAACAACATCTGCTCTGCCGCTTTCCGTAAATTATGCCTTCTCCGCCACAAGCTCAAGACTGCTCCGCCTAGTGTTAAACTCCTCTCCTACTTTTCCCTAATTAGGCCTAAACTTGAGTACGCCTCCATAGTTTGGGATCCCCACACAAAAATTAACGTCCAAAACCTAGGAAGAATTCGAAGAAAAGCAGTACGATTCATATATAGTAAATTTATGTCAACCGACTCTCCCACTGCATTACTAACAGCAAATGGTATAGAAGTATTACAAATTCGAAGAACAAAAAGTCGGCTACAGTTTCTTTCAGACATAGTGAACCACAGGCTACTCTTAGACACCGCAATATACGTATCCCCCTTGTTAAGCAGACCCACTCGACACCACTATCCTCATTCCCTAACGCCAATCTTCGCAAGGACTGATACTTTTCGGTACTCCTTCTTCCCACAAACAATAGATGATTGGAATAAACTAACCGAAGCATTTCCTCAACGCCCTTGACCATTTGTGTAAATACTCTTCTTCCATGACTTCCTTGAATGGTATTATCACCTTGTTGTTCAACTGTTACTTTTTTTTTAAAGCCATAACCCTTCTGTCTTATAGCAAAGAAATTGTGTAAAAACGCTTTGCAACCTTGTTTCATTCTGTTATTTAGTGTGCTTCATGTATGCTCACCCTGCTTGGACTTTTTGTCCGCAGTATTCTATAAATAAATAAATAAATAAATAAACCGAACTTACTAACTTTGACGCGAGTGAGAGCAGTCCTGAAGTGCGCATAATAATTTTTTTTTGCAATTTCAAGTACGGAGTGACAGCAGGGTGGGTGGATGCCTACTAAACCACAAGTGGTTCCGAAACCAAACAAAATGTTCGGTAAGCAGTCTTGCAATAAAAGCTGGCCAGCTTGAACGTTTGATCAATCGCACTAATGGCACGCGTACCTGGTTGCATTCTGAATTCGTGCCTGCGCGTATATGGTTCAGAAAAGATCATTACTCGCACGTATGTCGGCGGCATGAGTCGACTTAGATTGGGAGTCCGATTGACAAACTTTAGTGAGTGAGTCCAGTTGAGGAAAATATTGACTAGTTCGAATGAGCCCTACGCGCAGACTATATTTCTTGAGGGAGCCTAAGTTAGCTACACATTTTGTATTGACATGTGCTTGATAACTAATCAACTTCAGCATAACTATCGCCCTTATGATGGCTTGCATTCAACTGATGTCTACTCAAACAGACAATAACACACTAGCATTCATATGCCCGCTGTAGATTTACTGATCAAAGGCGTGAAGTGGCTTGACCAGCCCCCCCCCCCCCCCACGTGGGAAGTTATGAAGCGTGGAAATTTGGGTAAGTTGGTAGGACATACCTGAATGTAGGAGCAGCACAACCTAGAAGTAGTTACTTCGTAACTACGGAAGCGAAAAAACAAGGTCAGAAAAGACCTTGATAAAAAAATTGGCGGATCCCACGTACTGTGAGAATTGATGATATATCAAGCACAAATGAGGAAGGTTGATATGTCACATAAAAATTGACGCAACGTTATGAGGTGGATGTAAATTATGCGTACATGACTTCCATGCCATGACTATCATGTTTGGATGTGTCATATACCTTTGTCGTCTATTCACGTCATGCGATACCAAATTTAGTAGCACGTGATACGATATGCGAAGCTAGAGAAACGGCAACAAGCATGCTATTAGCGTAGCATGTAATCATGTCTTGCATCACACGCATATCATGATTATCATGTTTTGACGTGTCATTTACCTTTGTCGGCTATTCACGTCACCTGATACCAAATTCAGTTTTTGGGTAGTTAGCGAAACGGCCGCGAGCAGTCTATGAGCGTAGAATGTAATCTTGTTTCACATGGCATGCATGTCATGATTATCATGTTTAAACATGTCATTTACCTTCGTCTTTCATTCACGTCACGTAATACCAAATATGGTATATGTAAAGCTAGCGCAAGGGCCACTAGCACATCGTGAGCATGGTATGTTGTCATGTTCTTACGTGGCACTCATGTCATGATTATAACGTTTGCATGAGTTAAAAACTTTAGTCATTCGTTGACCTCAAAACAAAATTCGGTATATATGAAGCTAGCAAAACGGCCGCGAGCGCATCATGGGCATGGCGTGTAGTAATGTTCTTACGTGACATGCATTTTATGATTATCATGCTTGTAACATTCATACCTTCGTCATTCATTCAAGTCCATTAATACCAAATTTGGTGTATGTGAAGCTAGCGAAATGACCGCGATCGCATCATGAGCGTGGTGTGTAATCATGACTAGTCATAACATGAAAATCATGACACGCATGTCTTGATTTCCACCTTAGGGTCTGTCACTTATGTTTGCCATGCAGTCATGTCCCAAGCAAAAATTTGTTCTCCGCAAGAGGTTGGCGAGAGGTTTGTGACTGACTGCGAAGTGGGTGGCCCGACCTTGAAAACCAACGTAGGGTCGGTCTTGGGGATTGACGCCAGCTGACGTCGGAACACAATGTAGGCCCGACCGCGTTGGCCGACGAACCTGAGTGCGTGCCGCATACAGCTTGCCCTTACATAAGCGTTGATTCACCGACAGCTGTAGGTCGGCTGCCAATGTTCCTTGCTCTGCTTTTCTTTTTTGTATTTTGTGCACATCACATTGGCTCTGCGCACATGTAATACGAAATTAAATGCCTTTAAAGTCTGCACTTGTTAGCGTGTATGTAAACATAATAAAAGAAAGATGAACGCTAGTTTCCTCACTTTATTTGTTTATTTTGCAGTTGTATAAATGCACTATGTTTTCATGCCACATTGTTCGCATGGAACAATTTGTAGCAGGCCTTGTGCAACCCAACTATACAGTCGATGGAGTGGTATTCTTGCTAGATCGGTTCTCTCTTTCAGTCAAATTTCGTACTCTTGGCCGCAAGTACGTATTCAGTGTGCGACGTTTTACCACTGAGATGTGAGGCTTGTATCGTCCTGTGGCTGGGAAAAGCTGAAAAGAACAAACAGAATCATTGATACTTAAAGAGTCGCATGCGTGAAACGCATGCGACTGTGCATGCACAATTCGGCAAACCAATTTTGTGGGTATATACACAAATCAGAAAAAAACTGTGCACTTACGATAATGTGAGTCCGTTGATGTTCTGAAACATACTTGAAGCCCCAGAGCACACAGTTTTCTCGTATTATGTCACCAGAAAACAAACAGTGCAACAAATAAATTAAGGAAAACACATCTTACCTCCTAGGCAGGCTAGGCAGATATTTTTCAGTCATCATTTACAGTTCATTTGCGACCTAATGTAACGTGAAAAAAATTGCGTAGTACCTTAGCAGCAGAGCATGGATCTTACTCGACTTCCTTTCAGCACGGCGAGACAAGTGCATCACGCTATCCACACTTTTTGCAGTCCTTGTTGCAGTGCTTCCTAATTGAAAAAAAAAGCAAGTCTTGTCATGCTCTTGCAATATAAACAAACAAACAAAAAAAAAAAACAAACACGAAAGGTGTATATTTACCGATAAACGATCAACGACAACTGATACAGCAGCCGTTCACCTGAACCACTCTTCTTCGTCAGCTAGAGGAGACTAATGGATTGACACATCAGTTGTGCAGATCAAAGTGAATTTTTCCAACAGACAAAACTGGCAATGCGTCAGGAAACATTGTCACTTACGAGTACGCATGAAATCCTCAGCGGGGGGATGCGGCTGCTTCTACGAGCATGGCAAAGGAAATCCTGCTCAATGCATGTGCTTCTTATGACTTTGCATGGTAGTGCTCCGAGCGTTGTCTCCTTCCTTCCTAACGCCGCGGCTTGAAAAAAAGTATACGCAAAAAACAAGCAAAACTTCCGCATTCTTTTCCTCAGGTCTTCTTTTTCTGACCACAGCCGGGCTAGACTGCACCTGCGCGTGCATCTTTCAAGCGAGGGGGTGCTCTAAGAGAGACGGGATGCATGGTGTATATGTTCTGTCCCCAAAGCCGAACTACGGGGCCCCAACTTCTTTCGAAGGAACGCATGTGCTGCTCTGTGTGGTGAGAAAACAAATACCATCAAAAAGAGGGGTGACTCCGTATTCCCACTGGGACCTTACGGGGTCGCAGGCCGGGCCAGTAGAACCATGGAGTAGTAAAAGATTTTTTTTTACTGCTGTTTTTCTCCTTTCTGTGTTTCTCTACTAGCACACGATTCCTGAATTGACTTTGGCTTGCAGGCCCTGTGCCGTGCTCTCAACCTGGCTGCAGAAATTTGTTTGTTTCCTTGGATAAATGGCACGTGTACCCAC